CATTCGAGTTCGGGCGTTCGACCCGTCCCAAATGTCGATTACCCTATATATATATATTGTCACAGAACTATTGACTAAGAGCGTAAGCACGTGAAGCAGAAGAAGAAATAAGATGAACGGAGAAAAGAAAAATGAAAGGACAGACAGGCAAAGAGACAAACAAACCAGAATGACACAAAACAAGGTTCTTTTATTCTTTGTTTCACAATATTATATATATCGAGGTAACAACTGCGTTGATCGAAATAAACCAACGAGACCAACTCAGTTGGTATACCCAATGAAGTATTTAAATACCAATATGCTCAAATCCAACTATAATTTGATAAACATAATAAAATTATTTATAATTACTTGGGGTAGTAGTCAGCACAACAATGATATTTCAAGATTGTCACTGTTAAAAACAAAACTTAAAAAATCATTTTTATTATTATTATTATTTTTTCTTATAATATAGGGTGGGTTAATCTCCACCACTATATATATATAATATATATATATATATATATATTATATATATACTATATATAATATATATATATATATACAGGGTCACCAGCCCGTACGTACGGAGGTCCCCGGGCTGACCTCCGTACGTACGGACGTTTGGCGTCACGTACGGTGTCCTAACCCGGCGGCGTTCGGCCCCCGCCAAAAATTATTTATGGGCCTAAAAATATTTTTTTTTTCTGAATTTTTTTCGTGAGTTCTCTATGACATGAGGTACCTGCCTATAAGTTTTCAAGTCATTTGGCTCAGCCAAATCGGAATTAAAAATCGCCAAAGATGGCGGTGTGAAAACGTGCTCGCCCACGTTTTTTTTCACTTTTTTACTTTTTGTTTTCACTTTAGTTCGGGGTTTTAACAATTTTATTATTTTTTTAAACTTTTTTAGTGCGTTTTGCATGAGTACACATCTGTAAATTTTCAGGGCATTTAGCTATGCGAACAAAAAAAAGAAAAATTGCCAAAGATGGTGGTGTCGTAAAAGTGGTCGCGCACTTAGTAAATTTTATTATTATTATTATTTATTATTATTATTTATTATTATTATTATTATTATTTTTATTATTAGTATTGCTTCTCCATATTTTATTTTTATTTCAAATTTGGTAAGGAATTTGGATGTAATGCTTAGGCAAATCTTGTTTAATTTATTTTCTTCATAACATATCTTTTTTTTCAGATTTTTTTTTTTTTTTTTGTCCTCGTTTGGCCCGAACGACTGAACGCATCCCCAAGGGGTCCCATACGTTCGGGCGTTCGGCCCGTCCCGAACGTCGGTTACCCTGTATATATATATATATACATAACTAAAATCCTCATAAGTTGGGGTACTCCCCTCTGTCACACTACTAGTCCCTCCCCCTAACCTAAGCCAGGTACTACCTTACGACTGAAGAAAGTTTTGTAGTAACAAAAAAAAATGTTTGTGCGAGCGCGTGGTTTTGACAAGGTGCAAGAAATGGCGGATCGCACTGGGACAACTGCGGATTAGCTTTGTCTAGCTAGAACTTGTTGTTGGGATTGGCGGAGGTGGAAAGGCATTAGAGTGCGCGAGTGTTAAGGTGGAGACCACTTTGAGAGGACATTGCTATGCACCTGTCATAGCCCAATCTTGAGCGATGAGAGTTAATTATCCATGATTAACCGAGGAAGAAAGGTGAAAGTTGTGGAGTCGGATAATGGGCAGGCTCAACGTTTCGTATATATCAAAATTACAATTGATCAGGAACTTCGCCCACTTATTATAGATACGAAATACAATTGCATCGTTGCAGGGGTTAAAGTTCTTATCGGAATGATGAACTAAAGATGAAGGATGGGAGTGCATTGATAAATGTCGTGGTCCATCAGACAATGAATTTCAAACTACGATGGGTATCGTCCACCGTCACTGACGACCAACTTCAAGCTACTGTATCGTCCACTGTTGTAAATGCTCCTACTTCAGGCGTGGCGTTCGCAGACCGTCATGGTTGGGATTTATACACCTAGAAACTTTCAACTTTGGATTCCACGTTCAGAGGTATTTTTGGTTTGGGGGGGAGGGTGTGGCGCATTGGGCCTAGGTAGAATAAAATGGGTTCAGGGTCGGGTGTGCCGCACCAGGCATTTTTGGTTTGGGGGGTTGAGGGGGGAGGAGGGCCACACTTGGCCCTGATGGAATGAAAATGGCACGTACATACGGTAAAAAAAGTTTGAAACGACATGTTGGGCCTAGGTGGAAACGACGCTTAAAATTGCAACAAGTGTTATAATTTTGGTCTCCAACGCACGCTGTCTCCTGTTGACATTTTTTTTTTTTTTTTTTTTCCCTATCTCTCTCTCTCTCTCTCACACACACACACACACTTGCTCTCGAGTCAACACGTGATCGTCCCTGCTGGTAGAGCTCACTCTCTCACTCCCCCCCCCCCCCCC